AAGAAAATATGGAAGCATGTGCATGATGAATTAGTTTGAGCTGCCGAAAAGTATTTCAGAACTATTTTTAGCTAAATAAATGTTGGGTAAGATATAAATGAGGACAAAAGCAATAAATGAGGACATAAATAAAAAAGAGGACCAGAACTGTATAAATGGTAACAACTTGTTGTTACTATTTATAAATATTAGGTCAATAAAAGAATGAAGAAGACATGAGCAGTTCAAGTGACTGAGGTGACTTCCAGTGGCAGAAAAAGGATGCGTGACAGGATCCTAATTAAATCCTGAGTATTTATTGGAGTATTGGAAAAATCATTTCAGATGGTGACAATAACGTACATGGCAGGTAGTTAGAAACACTTGTTAACCCCCTTTGCGCCATGACACAAGGTAGGGAAAACCCAAACAAATGTCATTGCAGCACTTTTAGAAATGAACAGTTGGGTCTTTGGTTCTGAAACAAGCTTTTCATCAGTGTAATGACAGTGAGGCTGGAGAAGTGGAAAACACTCTGATGATTTCTGTGACTTAGTTGAGTTTATAATAAGATTTTTAATAATAATTGGGTTGAGGTCTGGTGCCTGTGGAGGCCATTTGTGTACAATGAATATATTTCAAACTGATGTTCAGGAAGTCAGTTTGAAATTATTTGAGCTTTGTGACATGGTGTGTTGGCCATTAGAAGGTGTGTGCACTGTGGTCATTAATGGACTGAAACAATTCTCAGGTAGGCTCGTCAGTCAGTACTAAGAGGCCTAGGAGACATCAGACCACTACTGTTGTGGGTTGTTTGCCTTCCTCTAAACGTAAAGCAGTCTGGCCATTCTCCTCTGACCTCCAACATCAAGAAGGCATTTCAACCAAGAGAACTGCTGCTCAGTGGAGCTGATCACAGCCACAGAAACAGCAATTCGTAACAACAGTATTGCAGAAGTGGAAGCAGAGCAACTACGGACGAAAGTTTCGGCCTGTCTCAGCAATGCAAAGCCCCCAGCATCCAACATCACCATGGAGGAGAGCAAGGCACTCACATCATTTAGCGATGACAACAACATTATCATCCTTCCGGCAGACAAGGGTAGGTGCAGAGTATTGCTAAACCAGAAAGACTATCATGAGAAAATTTTGTTGCTACTCAGTGATGAAAATACTTATGAGCCCCTGAAACGAGACCCAGAAAGTTGCTACAGGAAGAGGGTGATAGACTGTCTGAAGCAGTTAGAACAAGACAAGGCTATTGACCGGACCTCATACCACAGGCTGTACCCAGGGGAATCTACACCAAAGCTGTATGGTTTACCAAAAATACATAAACAGGGTGCACCTTTAAGACCAATTGTCTTCATGATCAACTCTGTCACCTATAACATCTCCAAGTTTCTGGCTTCGATCCTCAACCCGCTGGTGGGCAGCTCTGAACACCACATCCAGAACACCCTGGATTTTGTTGAGAAGGTGAGAGATGTCATTATGGAGGCAGACGAAACCATGGTCTCGTACGACGTTACAGCTCTCTTCACTTGCATCCCAGTCACAGAAGCGTTGGAGGTAGTCCGTAAGAGATTACAGGATGACCCCAACCTCAGCAGCAGGACCAATCTCAGCATCGACCAAGTGTGTTTGCTTTTGGAACTGTGTCTTCATTCCACCTACTTCACATACAAGGGTCAGTTCTACAGGCAGAAACATGGGTGTGCCATGGGCTCCCCAGTTTCACCCATCGTGGCCAATTTGTACATGGAAGAAGTGGAAAAGAGGGCTTTGCTATCCTACCCTGGAACACCACCAAGTCACTGGTTCAGATATGTGGATGACACCTGGGTGAAAACGCGTTTTTGGTTTATTACAGGATGATAGCGAGGCACGTTACATCTGTGTAACACAGCGCAGCGTGACTTTTTTTGACTTAATGAATTTAGACAGGTGAAAAGCGTGTGTGAGGTTTGGTTGTGCACACTCACACACACTATATGCACATAAACCACAAGCTACATATGCATGTTACCTCATCTTAAGTTATGGAACGCACACGCACACACCACAGGGTATCCAAGTTTATCTAGCTGTGTAATTAAAGTGTAACTGTTAGAGTCATGGGGTGGAGAAATGAACATTTAAACTACTATTAATTTCTCATCAGTGTCTGGGAGACAGAGAGCGAACAGAGAGACCAGAGGAACATGAGAGATCGGGAAAAGAGAAGGTAGTTTTTATTACACTTTAAATTAAAAAAAGCTCCTGAGCACAGTCAAAAATGCTGAACTTTGCACCTCCAGGGCCTTAATTAGTGTGTGAACAGCAGCTTGACCCACATCAACACAGGAACCTTCACCTCAAGAAGCTGCCAAATTTAGTTTCTGTAAACTTAACTCCCTACAGAGAAGAAAGCAGCTTCCTCCATGTGCAATATTAGCCATTTTCTGCCTATTTGATCACCTGAGCAGCCTCAATAACTTAAATTTGGTTCAATCTCCACAATATTTGTGTGTCTCCTCTGGATATTCTCTAGATTCTCTTTGTATTTTTCTTTGTAGACGACATAAACCAAAGAAGTCAGAATAATTGTGACCATAGCAACACGAGTAAGTATTCTAAAGACAATCTCATGTGTCTGATTGCGGGGAATGAGACTGATAATAATGTTCCTGCTAATGTGTTTTATAGCAGGTCAGTTCATGCATTACATGCCACAAATTACATATTTCAGGTTCAGTGAATATTACAGATTAATTAATTAATTATTATTATTATTATTATTATTATTATTATTATTAATTATACTGAAACCTATAGAAAATAACCTAAAATACTGAAACCATTCACATGTTTTATGTATAAACTATTTTTTATGTCAGCTTATAGCATCCAATTGACCAGCAAATATCCCAACCTCAAATGTGAATGACAAACATTTATTAATAACGGACCAACAAGCTAGGCAAGAGGCAGTGGTGGCCTTTGAGAGAGGATGACAAGATCAAATGGGTGTGTGGTGCAAGTAGATATTTATTTTAAATGTGTGGCTGGTTGGGGGAGTGTTTGAGGCACTGCCCTGCTCCTCAAATTCAGATAGATTATCTCCAATCCCTTTAGCTTTTACACAACTAATAAGAAAAATATACAATGAAAACACAGCATTTCAACTTTGTTTTTTTAATCTTCTCACAGCCTTTAAATAAAAGATGGAAGTTGTCATTGTGATGATGGTTTTGAAACCCTCAGCTGAGTGTGTTCGGGACACTCTGCACTCTTATATAAATTATCAGTAACCAGGTAGGCAGGCAATCTTTTGCAATCTTGTGGCAGCTATAATGCACAAAGTAATGTATTCAATAAGACTGAAATCATAATGAATGAGACTATGGGTTTTTACTGAGTTCATAAAGCAAGAAGCTGTTTTCCCTAAGGCTTCTGTACAATCAGACCTCTTTTTGAAATGAAAGGAGTCGCCCCCTGCTGGACATTAGAAATACTCCAGGTTTATGGTGCCTCCGCTCTGACTTCACCACTCAGATTCCTTATGCCTGCATCCATCGTTTGCCAACAGTGCATACTTCATCACCTCTTTTATCCACCTGTTTGATGAAGCATATTACTTCACTCTGGCAGCTAAACTATAGTGAAACTTCCCTACTGAGAAATCAGGTCTGGTCACTAAAGATCATTCGGACTACCTTGTGCAAAGCATTTGTTAATAATAAACACTTTTTGGAGGTTTGTCCAACATGATTTTATTTCTGTGTGAATACTATAGACTTTATATAAAAGATGGATTTGCATGGGGTTAGGTTGATTGGTGATTCTAAACTGACCATAAGTGTTATGGTTGCCTGTCTCTATTAGCCCTTTCCCATTAGTGACTACTTGGATTGGGTCAGTGTGACTCAGCTCAGCTCTACTGGAATTCCATTACAATTGAGTCCCACCTAATGTGCTGGGGTCATTATAGAAACGCGGGCAAATGTCTTGTGATGTAATTTGGATGCATCATGAACACCACAAGAAAGTAAGATGAGGCGATGGTATACCTGCTGCTCGGTGCTTTGCTATTTGTCAGACACAGGGACCACGGTGTTGGTTTTTTGTGTAGCTATTACCTACTTTGCCAGGTAAATGTGGTTTTGATTTTCATGAAGGAAACGCTCTCATGAGCAATGCCACTGATCAGCCAATCGTGGCATGCAGTCTGTTGACATCACATTTATGATTGCGTCAGATTGCTTGGAACACTTGCTGAGTGGTTACTAAAAAGGTACCTGTTACCAGGTACTATTACCTAATGCAGGGGTAGGGAACTCCAGGCCTCAAGGGCAGGTGTCCTGCAGGTTTTTAGATGTGTCCTTGATCCTCGATCCAGTACAGCTGATTTACATGGTTAAATTTCCTACTCAGCGTGTCTCTAAGTTCTCCAGAGGCCTGGCAATGAACTAATCATTTGATTCAGGTGTGTTGACCCAGGGTGATATCTAAAGCCTGCTAAACACCGGCCCTTGAGGCCTGGAGTTGGAGTCAAAAACAGTTAACTGAATTTAGTTACTCAAATTAGCAGAAGTGAGGCCTCACCTACCATTATGAAGGGGAAAAAACTGTCTATAAAGAAATGTATCTTATCTTGTACCAGGTTGTAGGGAGCAAAGAAGTAATTCTGCTTTTCTTTTCTTTTTCTTACTTTAGTTTTTCAGCCCCAGGGAATCACCACATGGCCATCACCAGGCAGCGTCTGCCTTTTGTGCATAAGCTTCAGGCATGTTGCTCCGGTATCGATCAGCAGTCAGAATCATGACAAAAAAAAAAAAAAAAACGTGCAGCAGATTCGCTGCACGTTTATTGGAACTCCTCAAATCCTCTAGAAACCTCCCTGGGCAGTAAGCACCTCCCTGTGTCCTGCACATCCACCCCTGTCCTTACTCCACCCCACTCCAACCCCTCCTTTCTCTCGGTGTTATTCCGCCGGTCCAGCGGTGCGCTCAAAAAGCCAGAGCGCAGACAGAGCGCAGTGGATGCTCCAGAGCAGAAACAGCAGCGAGAATAACAAACGACAAAGACACACCGGAGGAAACCCTTTGGAATTGCGCGCGGAGACAGTAAGAGAAAGGTGCAGACTCAACACTATCGTCCCATCAGCGGTAAAAGTAGAACAGCAGAGGGAAAACGGAGCGCCAGTTCGTCCCCCCTCTTCAGCACCGCAGGGAGGAGACACGCAGAAGAGGAAAGATTCCCCCGAACGCAGTGAGAGCCTCGGACGAGGAGAAGAGGAGAGCGGAGGGCATCGGATAGGCAACAAGGAGTAAGTGAATTCACAGTTTGTATGGGAGAAAACTTATCCTGAAACTTCTTCATAACCTCATGAAGTTTGTGAAAAAAAAATGTTACACCAGCATCACCCACACCTCAGATTCACCCCAAATTTCACAAAAACTAACTCGGAGTCCCAAAACTTACGCAAAACTCGGCAGACTGTTCTTAATTATCCACCTACAGTGAGAGGAGAGGCTGAAGTGTGTGTTTATGAGTTCCTATGTGTGACTAAGTCTTGACTCCTTCCTGCACAGCTGCATGCACGTGTTTGCTTTGTTTCACTAAATATTTATTCAGCTAAACTGTCTCAGCTTGCCAGAAAAAAGGCTTTTTGAATTCCTTTTTTATTTCGAAAACTAATCCCGTCAAAGAGAATCCATGATTCATGTGTTCACTGCTAACATTATATTAACAAACCCTACACTGATGATCACAGAGAGGGGGATGGTTTAACTTTTGCCTAAGACACTATCGGAAGGAAGAGGAGTGCTTCTAAGATAAACGGTAGGTCAGCAGTGCACGTGATCAGGATGGACGCTTCTGACCTTTTTATTTTTAATATATTTTATTTTTCTCCTGATACAGTTTTTGTTTATAAATCTATATATAAAGAAAAACATTTAAAAGAATTTGAAAATGTTGCAGTTTTGTCTGATTTCATCTATTTTTGTTGTATTTGTGTGAACTGCAATTATTTGAGGAACTATTAATGAACTTTTCTTAACATTTTTAATATTTCCAGTAGAAAATGTGCCTAAACCAGTCTTGCCTTCTCTTCTCTTCAGCTCCGTGCTCTTTAACCCAGAACATACTTTCCTTGCCAATTATTAGGACTGTTAAGTGTAGTAAAGAACCAAGACAATGAACATTTTAAGTGGATATCACATTTTGTAATGTAGTTTTAGGTCCTGTGTATTAACTGTTATGTTAGATAGGAATAGAGAAAATATATATTATTCATCTGCTTGTTGTCTTATTTTATAAGATTTGTTTTGTAACTACATATCATTTAAGATGAATGTTAAATGTGAGGCGTATTCCATTCTGTGTGGGAAATAATTACATTTACAAATGCCATTGTCCTGGTCACAAAAGAAAAAGGAAAGGAAGCTGCTTTCGGCTGCTCCTTTATTCACAGTGGGTCACTACAGTGTTTGATTTGGCAGAGCTTTTACCCCAGATGCCCTTCCTGACTCAAACCCAGTGGGATTTGTGTCTCCTCCCGGGAGACAAGAAAGCAAAGTTTGGAAAGAAAAAGAATGTATTATCTTTGCAATTACAGCATAATCAATCAGGACTTATTACCCCTTATTTTAGCCATCCATTTATCCATTTTCTTAACTGTTTTCATGGTTGCTTGACCCAGCTGTCACAAGGCAAGAGGCAGAGTACACTCTGGAGAGGTCACATCAGAGTTGTCTTAATTCTTTATGGCATTGATTCAACAAGCTGCTGGAAACACTCCTCGTGTTGGTCCATATTGACATGATAGCGTCTCGAAGGTGCTCTAGTGGATTGAGATCTGGTGACTGTGGAGGGCTTTTGAGTACAGTGTCATGTTCAAGAAACCAGTTTGACATGATTTGAACTCTGGTACGCTATCTTGCTCGAAGCAGCCATTAAAAGATGGCTGTGATCATGAAGGAATATTTTTAGGACATAGTTAAGAACAATACTCGGGTATGCAGTGCCATTTAATCTCTAGGGTTTACACATAATGTTTGTACCAACTTGTTTAAACAGTTGGTACTAAGGGGCCCAAAGTGTGCCAGGGAAATTTCTCCACACACCATCCCCCCACCACCAGCTTGAATTCATGATACACTGCATGATGGATCCATGTTTTCATCCAAAGGTTGCAGCAGAAATCATTTTCCCAATCATATTAGAACTGTAGCCTCGATTTTCTGTTCTTAGCTGACAGGAGTGATACCTGGTGCAGTCTTCTGCTGCTATAGCCCTTTGGCTTCAAGGTTTGACATGTTGTACATGTTCTTCTGCATACCTTGGTTGCTGTTACATTCTCCTCTGACCTCTGGCATCATATAGGTATTTTTGTCCTGAGAACTGACAATCACTTTTTTCTTTTTTAAACTATTCTCTATAAACCCAAGAGATTGGGAAAATCCCAGTATATCAGCAGCTGAATCAGTCAGACCAGCTCAACAGCTCAGATTTTAAACTTGGCATCCAGTTCAAGACAGTGTTTTTTGGGTTTGGGTCTAAATAACGCCACAGAGAGAGGATATCCCTAATATGGTCCTCCCCAGCACACTGCTCTGGCCATGAGTACAACAGCTGTGAATCATGAAACTCTACTTTGATCGTGGCTCAAGAGTTGGGAGTTCGCCTTGTAATCGGAAGGTTGCCGGTTTGAGCCCCGGCTTGGACAGTCTCGGTCGTTGTGTCCTTGGGCAAGACACTTCACCTACCGCCTACTGGTGTTGGCCAGAAGGGCCGATGGCGCGACATGGCAGCCTTGCTTCTGTCAGTCTTCTGTCAGTCTGGCAGCTGTGGCTACAACTGTAGTTTGCCTCCACCAGTGTGTGAATGGGTGGATGACTGGGTGTGTAAAGCGCTTTGGGGTCCCTAGAGGGGACTAGTAAAAGCGCTATACAAATACAGGCCATTTACCATTTACTTTAGGAGAGTCCAGGTATAAAAATACTGTAGGGTGGGAAACCATTAGAATAGGTCCCCTTTATAGGAAATTAAAGAAACATGCAAAGTGCATACAAACTACAGCAGAATAAAACAGCTGATACAACAATGGTTTTATGCTAATTCTTTCAGGATTTGCAGAGTGAATTGATTTTACGTACATTTCATAATTTAAAACACTTCTTCTACAAAGGCCTCAGCACCTTTTTTTCCTCTTGCGGTATCTTTAGCAACATTCGCCCTTGCTTTTCTATTGCTCTTTTAGAAAGTCATAGCCTTCATACTCTCACTATATTTGTCTATATTTAAGATGCACATCATTCATCATATGTTAGATTTTATAAAAGCACAGATACGTGTTACACACGCGGGTGTAGCTAAACTCAACTTAAGGGCCCGACTCAGCCCTTTTCCAGTGTTAGCATGTAGCAACCACTTCAAAGTTTTGCTGGTGATTTATTCATAAGGCTTTCTAAAATTAACAAGCTAAATCTGTTGACTGGAGCATGTATGAGCAGAGACAGGCAGGGAGAAAAGTGCATGGGAGGGAAAATAATTGAATGCCATTTTCTCATTTCCCCTGGTAGTGGCAGCTCCAGACTTATTGGACCCTAAATCCGCCACTCACAACACTAAGCCCCGCCTCTCCTTCTCCACAAAGCCAATGACACTGACGCCTCCGGAGGAGAGCGAGGTGAGGACAAATGAGATGTTTTCACAGGATTTTTGTTACACCCTGTGGTGTCATTGTAGTTTATTTTGGGACACCTCTTGCATGCAGGTATGTATATGGTTTGATTAACAAGCTGAAGTGTTGCAGGTGGTTGCCACAGTGATGAAGTGGAAGACGGTGACAGCCATCTTTCTTTTGGTGGTTCTGTACCTGGTGATGGGAGCAGCAGTCTTCAGATCCCTGGAGCAGCCCCATGAGAGGTAAGCAGGTTAAAGAGAGGTAGGCCAGTCATCCATCCATCTATTTAGCTGTCCCACGACTCGCATAACTGCTCCTCTCCAATCTGTGGCAATGAACGCAAAGGTTAAGACCCTACAAATAAGTACGGTGTGCTTGATCTTCTATGAATATTTATTTAAAGTAAAAATATATTAAATGTTATGTTTATTAAAGTCATAAATGTTTAGATGTAAACTTTTAGCTTTATGTATTTTCAGCTCACCACTGGGTACCCTGTAGTGCACTTCCTGAAACAGCCCTAGTTTAATGCAGTCTTCAACACAGATGACTAAAGAATATATACAAGTCTGTGCTAGTACTTTCTGCTCTTGATTGGGAGCATGAAACTGACTGAGTCATTAAAACATGTACAATTCTACTACACTTAATTTTTGGGCTTCTGTGTTAGTTTCATATCATGTGTTTGGATTTCTGTGTTTTCACTTCCTGTTATATTTTGAAATATCTGTTTGTCATACACTTCCTGCTTCCAGCTTTTGCTCACTTTCCAGCTCTTTATCTCTGTTCAGTCACTTACCTTGGTATCCGTAGCCCAACTTCTTTACTTCCCATTTTCCAGACTGTGCTGTCTTCATAAAAACAACCCTTGTAGACACGCCCTGCTGCTCCTCGTGTTTTGTTGTACTCTTTGTGCCTTTGTGTTCTTACTACTTCTGACCGGATGTGAGTGATCTTTTGCCTATTTTGTTGGATCTTGCTTCTGATCTTCTATCTGCCAGATTTGTTTGCCAGAGTGACTGACCTTCCATGTATGGCCTCAGCCTGGTAATAAAGATTTGATTTTTCCCAGTATCCTGTGCTGTATATTTGGCTGTGAACTCTTCGTTTCCCACAGTTAACAAAGACACGACTGAGATTATTTATTTCACCAAAGTAGGAAAGCCCCCAAATGATTCCCATGAGCAATACAGAAATACTGAGCATATTAGTCCTACTCTAAAATATTTAGGCTGTCATATATATAATTCCATTAGTCTTTGATGTTTATAAACCAAATCAAACTTTGTTCAGTTGACATAATAGTACTTTTCCTCTTTCTAATAGTGAACAGCGTTTGGCCATCCTGTCCCAGAAGCTGCAGTTCCTTTCCAGACACTCCTGTGTCAACCAGAGCCAGCTGGAGGAGCTGGTTAAGGTAAGACTAACCTGACATTAATATTAATGTTAAAACTCATGCATTAAGTAGAGCAGCGTATGTACTGTACCCTACTATGATTCAGCACAGCAGCACTGGTTTCAGCACCATGGACAGCTCCTTTAGCTTTAAAAGGAAGAGCGTCTGAGATACCGAGAGTTTCTGCTCTGTTTCAGACTCTTGCTGTTTGCTTGGTCTTCCAGCTATGGCCCAACAAAATCAGAAATTCTTAAATTCACTCAAGATAATGTATTTTCTTTATCACTTGTAGATATTTGCGTCGTTTACAATGATATTTCATATATTTTCCTTCTTTAATTTGTTACACAGGTAAGCACAAAAACACATTCCTGCACATCTGTAAAGAAAAGTGTCTTATAGTAGGTTTTTAATTTACGGATGTCTGAGAGGAGGATGCTGATGAAACTCTTCAGCATTAGGGACAATCCAACAATGCATGGGACCCTGATTGGTCATTGCAGCACTCACAGTAAGAGGCTGCTTTGACGTGCAGGTTTGAGCGCTACAGGAGATCTTTTCTGCCTGTGGCTTTTAGACTGAATGACTCCTCATTCTGCAGGGATGATGTTTAAATACATTTTAAAGCTGTGCCCACACACAACAACACTTTATCATGTATAATACTCGAATGCCATCCCAGCTTACCAGACAGGAGATCTGCAATATCACCTCTAATTAATTCACCCTGTTATCGCTTACTCCATCTGCTGATGTAAACTGTAAACAATCATATTTATGTTTATATTCATAATCTTGTTTTCCCGTATCTTGTATTTTAATAGTCGTACTTTATTTTGTTGCTGTCTGTGACTCTGGCTGTCTTTTTCTTTCTCTCTACCTTTTAGCAAGTTGTGTCCGCCATCCGTTCAGGAGTAAACCCTGCAGGAACAATGACCAACAACAGCAGCCTGTGGGACCTGAGCTCTGCCTTCTTCTTTGCTGGGACTGTCATCACAACCATTGGTAGGAAACACACACATACACTCACACAAAGAGCATCTATGTTCAGACTGAAAGAACCACATTGTATATTTTCTGTTTTTAATTAATTTATGTTTACTTTTGAGTTGACAGTCCTCTAAATATAGCTCTTACAGTTAGCTACATAACAGTGACCTTTCTTTAGTTATTGATTATACATCTGCTTTGTGGATATAATCAAACTAGCACACTTACTTTCCCCATACATTTACTTTGTGCATGCATGTGTATAGATTTCTTAAACGCTCCTCACTTTCAACACAGTGGCCATTTCTACTTGCATGACACTGTAATTCCACCTTAGTTGAGTTATATTAACTCTTTTTTGTAATTAGATAGAATATATTCAAAAATGGAAAAAATTGAAACATGCAGTGTTATAGAAGTGTAATTTAAAAACGCAGATAATATATTTCACTATCTATCCAGCAGTGTTTCGAGTGTAGTGGTTGGATATCTTCCAAACAAATTCACAAATGCAGTCTTCATGCAGCGAATACCGGGATTCAAATCATCAAATCACTGGTGATGTGTCCTCTTCGCAGGTTTTGGGAACATCTCTCCCCACACCGAAGGCGGGAGAATATTCTGCATTGTCTATGCTTTGTTAGGGATACCGCTGTTTGGCTTCCTTTTGGCCGGTGTAGGAGACCAGCTCGGCACCATATTTGGCAAGGGCATTGACAAAGTGGAGAAGATGTTCGTGGTGAGTGTGGAGCATCAAACACAATCACATTAAACTTTCAAAGCCTGAACCAGAAAATAATTCCCAGAAAATGTAAATATTTTGAAGAGCTTTTACTGAACCTTCTCACAAAACAATAATTCAGTATTAATTTGCATATATGAGTTTGATTTTGTATCATATTCGCAACATCTGGCTCTTCTTTTTTGCAATTTATTGCTTAAAAATGACCTGAAAAAACAGAAAAGTTTTGAACTGTTTCTTTCAAAGACTTCACAGAGTCAGACAAACAGAGCTGGATTGGTAAACTGTTCCAGAGCCTTGGTGCCACAGACTGAAAGGCTCTATCCACCACAGTCCTCACTTTTGTATGAGGGGACAGCTAATAGATTTTAAGCTTGTGAACGAAGACAGTGAACAGCAGTTTGTTTAGGAAGAAGTTGAGATATGCAGTCTGGAGCTTGTCCATTTAGTGCAAGGAATTAGAAAGACTTCAATCCTCTTCAGAGCTGATGTTGCAAGCATCATAACGTTTGCCACGGCATCTCCAGGCCTTTTTTTATGCCTGTCACATATGCTCAGTGTGAACCTGCTGTCATTTCTGAAGAGTCATTTCTCATTTCTAGCAGTGCTTTTCCTGTTCCTGCTCACGCAGTGGAGTAGATAACGGTCCTGCTGCTGGGTTGATGCCATGTCTCCATGTGTTATTTCATTAACGGCCCGTCTTCTGGTATTTTCCTGGTATTTTTGTCTACTCTGTGCTGAGGGACACAGCAAACCTTCTCGCAATGGCTGGACTCTCTGTATAAGATGAATGGGCAGCAGGTTCAGTCTCATCCTACCAGCATTAAAAAAGACACTAACAACACAAGAATAACACTAGAGAAAACTGAATCAGGAATAAAGATAGAGCAAGCACCTGCAAAATCACTCCCTTTTGGGGGGTTTTGTTCTTGTTGTCTCTTAGGAGCATCTTTGTTGCTTCATTTGCACCGAAGGAGATAAATTCACAATGGTTTGTGCCATCCCTCAAGTTTAACTAACTTGTGTTTTTAAGTGTTAAAACATTTACTAAGAAGTTAGGGACAGGGGAATGCAGAAGAAGGCACACACATGAACACAAACAAATCATTTCCTTTATTTTGGAGTCGGTGCTCATTAAAACACCTGATGCTCATCCAAATTAGAAAAAGATCTCTTTGTATTTGTCGTTGCAGGGCACTCATTTTCAAGCTGATTCGTTCATTTATCGTGTTGTCACATTCTTCTCACATGTTGCAAAAAAAGCCTGCAGATCTATTAAGAGAGACAAAGGTGACTCAGCTCGCAGTCACGTCTTCAAAGTTCAAGTAGCTGGTGTGAATAATATGTTTTGTAGTCTTGAAGGAGCAGAAATCTGAAAACAGAAACATACTTTGGAATGATTTCCTCCTCCCGCTGCTCTCAGGGCACCCGAGGGACTGAGTAATGGATATTGTGATTAAGGAAAGAAGACAAAAGTTCATTGTGTAAGTGCCTGTGTGACTATGAAAGCCTGATTGCTCAGTGCAGACTGTGTGAGACTGCAGCATTATCCTCAGTGAATGTCTTTTCTCTTCAGCTGCACCCACGGGACCAATTTATGGAATAATGCCATTACTGCTAACAGCGTCAGGCTAATTTGGCATTTCACTTCAGAGTATTCTGTTTAACAGTCTGTTTTATTATTATTATCAGTCAGTCCTCCACTTTGGTCCCACCTTAAACATCTCAACTCTGCAAACATTAATGCTTACCAGATAATAATCCTTATAATAATCCTTAATGACTTTAGCTGTTTAACCTGAGAGAGAAACACGTTGTCTTTTATTTTATATGAAATATTGTCATTACACAGGTTTCCACAGAATTAACATTTTCGACTGAGTAATACTACAGCTTAATTCTGACTAAATGCAGTTTCACAGGTAGACTGGAGTAATTAGAAGTAACTGGAGCCAGCCTTGTGTACATAGATTAACACAACCTCCACATCAACATCTACTGAGTTCTTTCATTTTTCATCTTTTCCTTTGGTGACACTTTTGTACTTTTATTTGAGTGTGATGTCAAGTGCAGGAATCTAATCCAGTATTATACCTTTGAGATCTGAATACTTAATGTCTGGATTCTCCCTGCCTGCAGACACACAAAGTTTATGTTGAGTATTTGAATGATGTCCTTTTCTTTCCCGTGTAGCATGGGGAGATCAGTCAGACAAAGATCTGGGTCATATCCACGCTGCTGTTCGTGCTGTTTGGCTGCCTGCTGTTTGTGGCCCTCCCGGCAGCCATCTTTAAACACATCGAGGGCTGGTCTGCGCTGGAGTCCCTGTACTTTGTCGTCATCACCTTGACTACTATTGGTTTTGGGGACTTTGTGGCAGGTAAAAAGCACAACCAGTGATTTAATGCTAAGACACAGTTTGGACCTGGTTCTCTGAGTCATGTTGATCCGTCTCGTTAATCTGTGTGTGTGTGTGTGTGTGTAGGTGGATCAGATATTGAGTACATGGACTACTACAAACCAGTCGTGTGGTTCTGGATTCTGGTTGGGCTGGCCTACTTTGCTGCTATCCTCAGTATGATTGGAGACTGGCTGAAAGTCATCTCCAAGAGAACAAAAGAAGAGGTACGATACCCTCGGTTTCTATTTTCTGCTTCATCTAACTTTTTGCAGCTTGTTTTTGTTCCTTTTATCAGCTTTATGTGTACCTGTCACCATGTGCCTTTTTCTGTACAATGACACTCATTATTCGAGCTACATTATGCCATATCGCCACTTCAACTTTTGCCCTCTGTTTAACGTTATTTCAGTGATACGACTGTTTTCTAATCCAATCGACTCACTGCCATCAAAACACAAGCACTGGATCTTATTGTGATCATCCCCAGAGGGAAATAGAGATCATTTAGACAATGTGTGATGATGAAGCTTAATATCAAATGACTTTAATACTAAATATAACAGAGATTATCAAAATAAATCCAACCTTGTTTCCAAAAAGGAACTTCTGGACATTTCCAGCCTTTTATTAAAAAACTGTCAGGGTCTCCTTCTGAGTGATACAGCTGTGTTCTTTGTGCTACCTGAATTTTGCTGGTGAGCATGAATAAATAATTTTTCATACATTTTTACCAGTTATTATCAAAAACATCCTCTGGAGTGTGAAAGTCACATTTTTGTCAAGAGCACAATTACATAATCACATCTTGCAGTCCTGCTGTGATATGCCATCTCACTGGTCTGTAGATGCAGGCGTGTTATTATCATAAGTCACCGCAGATGCAGTTAGACGCACAGACATTATCACTATCTTCAAGAGATTTCATTTTTGGCCAGATGGGGTAGCAGAATGGCTCTGTGGATCTTATTATCCATAAATTGTATGGCTGCAGTGCACACACACACGCGCGCGCGCACACACACACACACACACACACACTGACACAAAGACTGAAGGCAGGACTATTTATACACAGCTGGTATAAATGAGGAATTTGTGCTGACAAATCAAGACAGTCGTGGGGAGAAGTAAAAGCAAGGCTCCAGAGACGACTAACTATCAAAGTAAAACAGGAAATAACCAAAAAGATAACCAGTAAGAGACAAAAAACTAAGAATAACATGATACAGAGAAACTCTTTGGAGGCATCAATAACAAAGTCAAGACAGAAACCCGACCATAATATTGTAACACTAAATTAAAACTCAGTGTTAGCAGAACTAAGATTCACAGTACTAGAATAGTAAACAAGAATCTGGAAATACAACAAAGACGAACATCTGAGCTTTAAACATCAGAATGATCAGAAAACAACAAACATGCACTCACACTTGTAATGAATATAGAATAAACACACAGAAAGAAAGTGAGCTATACTTTGCAGTCGAAAAGAGCTATCAAAGAATCACAACAGCAACTCTGTAGTAAATATACATGAAGATGAGTCCTGTTTATATCAGCAACACAAAATACATGCTTGATTATATATTACAGGGGTCTCCAACTCCAGGCCTCGAGGGCTGGTGTCCTGCAGGTTTTAGATGTGTCCTTGGTCCAACACAGCCCATTCAAATGGCTAAATTACCTCCTCAACATGTCCTGAAGTTCTCCAGAGGCCTGGTAACAAACTAATCATGTGACTCAGGTGTGTTGACCCACGGTTATATCTAAAACCTGCAGGACACCGGCCCTCGAGGCCTGGAGTTGGAGACCCCTGATATATTAGATACACCTGAGGATGAGACGGTGATGGTGAAGTATATTTTAAATAGGTGTGCAAATATTACCTTCATTGTTATCAGATAAAAACCACAAAAGTAAACCTGTGAAAGTCTTTTTGTTGCTGGCTTTCATGTGTCTCCTGTCATCCTAATGCATTTCTACTGACCTCTTTATATCTTTGTGTCATTGCAGGTTGGAGAGATCCGGGCGCATGCTGCAGAGTGGACGGCAAATGTCTCTGCAGAGTTCAAAGAAACCCGTCGTCGTGTTAGCATTGAGATCCATGACAAGTTCCAGCGTGCTGCATCAATCAAACGCAAGCTGTCCTCAGAGCTGGGATTTAGCCCGGCTCCCGAGGTCACCCTGCCCAAGCGGGTTGTGTCTGTCAATTTCAACAATGAACGGGACAAAAACGAGAAGGAGGCCGGACTGCACGGATCGACACCTTCGGCCATAAATGGCGCTTTGGTCTTGAACGGACCGGATCTGGAGAGAGGCGAGATCTCAATTATTGAGCACCTCAAGTAGCAGAAGGACTGTCGGCACCTCTCAAGATCCTTCCAAGGTCTCTCTGTTTGTCATAACTGGTGGTACAAGGCATTGCTTGAGAATTCAGAAATCAAAATATTGAAAGTGGCCCCAGCAGAAGACATCTTCAACGTGAAAGAGGAGTCAAAGCCTTGCTTGATAACACTTGCACACATATTCCACTTTACCATCCTCAACCCCAACAATGAAAGAGCGTGAACAACATACAGAACTGTATTTTTTGGTGTTTGTCAACTAAATCTTACAGAAGTTACATTTAAGGACATACTGAAAAGCTAGGAAATCTGGAAATCTGCATCTGTCTGTCTTCATAACTGAAACAACTAAACATATTTGTTTTTGCTTTGTTTTTTTCACTATTGCTCAGTCAGTCTAGAGGCAAGCAGGAGTTAATGAGAGACAGAGGAGTATAATATCCAACAAAGGTCCCTGGCTCGTAATAAACCCAGGACGTAGTTAGTCACTGTGCTGCTGTTATGATAATGACAATCACAGCCTGCTGTTAACAAAGACCATGAACACCATTTAAGAGGCGTATATTTAGAAAAACATACTGGCATTAGAATTGTAAAAGTCAGTCAATCTGATGAGGAGGATGTCTGTAGATTGTAGTAGGGGCCTTCTGTATTTAGAAGTAAATCCCTATGGGAGCATGTTTGTGTAATTTTCTACTATTGTTGTCAAGAGTGAAATATTTGCAGTTTTAATTCTGCACAAAAAGGTACTTAAAAGCATGTACAGCGTATTTTTTAATCCGAAGCTTTAGCTGACTATGTATGTTTTAAAGAGCAGCTCAGGCAGGCATGACTGTGACTATGATCATTCAACTATTACAGTGGAGTCACTGTAATACCAAAAAGCAGTACTGTTACTTGATCAGTGTTATTGATTCCACATGATGTTGTTAAATGTATAAATGTATTTTGCATGTTTAGTTCAGTTCGTTCAGTTTAATAATTACCCACAAGCCATTACTTTTTCCACGATTTTTAATTGCAGTTTTAAAAAAAAAATCGCGATAGCCAGTTATTTGTGGTTCGGTCTTGACTTTTACTGCTAATCTTTATATGATGCTTTCATGTTAATGATGTGTTTTAATAGAGGGCATGCTTTGTACTTACGAAGCTCCTCTCATTTTTAAGGAAAGGGCATAAAAATAATGCAGTGATTTTACAGCAGATGTATTTTTTTCAAAACAAGTGGCTCTATGAAGATTTATCAGACCACTGCAGTGCCTCAAACTCTTCACTTTGCCCACAAGACCAAACACAACACAAAGTGAAGTGAAGAGGACTATCGATTTTGCACCAGTTCAGTGAGTTGCATGGTGATATGTTAAAGACTGGACGCTTTATCTGCAGCAGTAAGCCATTCCAAACTGGTAAACTCCATTTAAGGAACATTGCTACATATGGAGTACAGAGCTCGGTCATTCGCCATCACATTCATCCAGTCTGTCTTCTGTATCAGTAGAATTTGTATCTGTGTTTGGATGTGGAAAATATTCATATGTTATGGTGTACTGTACCAGTTACTTTTCAATGATGCAATGCCCACATAGTTGTAACCGTAAATATATATACGCATAGAGTAAGGTCCAAAAGTATTTGGAGACAGCTTTGTTATTCTGCCTCTGTACATCACCTCTGGATTTTAAATTCAACACTAAAGATGTGATTGAAGTGCAGACTTTAATTTAAGAGGTTTACAAAACTTTTACTCTTTAGGAACTACAGCCATTTTTCTACAGTCTTTTTTAATAGTTGGATGAAAGTCTTTGCAGTCAATGAGTGCCTAAAGTGTAGAACTCATGAACATCTTCAAACACTGTGTTTTTTTTCCTGGAGATGTTCTGCTGTGCCTTTACTGCAACTACCTTCAGTTGCTGATTGTTTGTGGGTCTTTTGTGCATTTCGTTTTGCATTTACTTATTAAAAGCTAAAAGCACCTGCTGCTGGGTTGAGATCAGAGCAGTTGCATTGTCAATAAACACTAGTGATCAGGTTCCACTAGCAGACATTCATGCCAATGCCATAACATCACCTCCCCCGTGTCTGGCAGATGACGTGCTACGCTTCAGACCATGAGCCATTTCTCTCTTTCTCCTTACTTTTATCTTCCTACCTCTTCTCTTTTGTTTAGTTAATCTATTAATCTAAGTCCATTTTGTGGGGTTAGGGAGTCCAATGTGGCTTTCCTATCCTTGCAATCAGTGATTTGCACCTTAAAAGCATCTCTTGAGTTTACACTCTGAAAGTAATATCTACTTGAAAGTTGTTTTTCTTAATCAAAGAAATAATTCTGTCATCATACATGTTAGTTATCTTTTGGTGTTGCTGAGATGGCCAGTGCATGCCTTCTGTACCAGATTGTTGATTTGGCCAGTAGTAAAGTTTTTGCGATCTCTCCGAGAGGTAAATTTTTACCTAACGATGGCAACACTTGGAGTCAAATCCAAATCTTTTATTTTCTGGAGATGTAAAGAAATAATTAAGAAAATTTCCTCACCTGGCCATTAAATAACTGGGTTATCCCATTATTTTTGAACCTCTGAAAATCTTCTAAAAAATTTTGAAACTCCTAAACAGTTAATGTATTTGTTAAACCCCTTGAATTAAAGCTGAAAGTCAGTCAGATGCTGGTTATTTGATTTAAAATCCGCTGTGGTGGTGTACCAAGAAATACATATGGAGCTAACCGTATGCGACACAGTTCCCCCAAATACTGGTGATTCTTTTGTTTTCAATCAGGTAATTGTGTATTTTATTTTATTGTCAAACAACATACATTTTTTTCTGATGACGTATTGGGGTGACAATCCAAAGCTAACATAATTCACAGTGAATGCCTTTTTTTTATACTGCATGTGTCAAAACCTTTCTTGCAGACAACTGTTAGACTGCAAAAAGTGTTAATCATCTTTATTTGTGTGCAAGACATATATTGTGTTTGCAATTTTAAAGATATAATTTAACGTGGATATGTGTGAGCTCTTAAATAGGAAAAGTGGAAATTGTTTTTGAGGCATGAAATATCAAACCATTTGTGTTTACACTGTAGCGATGTAATGGAAGTGAATTTGCCTTGTTGAGGACAAGATGAAGGTTTTGGAGTGAATGTGCACAGTGCTTTTTCCATGTGTGTACACCTGCCATTGAAAATGCACTTTTATGCTGCTGCCTTTGAACGTAACACTGTGCTGCAGGCTTGAGAGCAAACCTATCCATCCGGTCAGAAGGTGGTGACTGTTATTGTGAAGTGGCATTAGTGACAACTGCATGGTTTAACACACGAACTTCTCACTCACAAATAATCCAAGGAAGAGGACTTAATTCTCAGATTGTTGTAACATACAAGAAGAGCATGAAAAACAAAACATACAGATAAACTGGGTTGAAATAATAATCAGACAAATAAGATCGAACAATTAAGTGAGTTTGAATTGAGCTAATAATTGTGACAAGAAAAAGATTATGATTCTGTAACCCAGCCTGCAATTTCTGTATTACCAAAGATAAACTGTGACTGTTAGATAAAAGTGTAATACCAGAATATATTAGATTATATCTGCTACAATAATCTAGCAAAGTACCAATTATTAGATTTTTTTTGGAGTCCTAAGAAGCTTGTATTAATAAATAATATGGATTGTCTTTAGAGATTATGTAAGGACTTTGGTTATACACCCACTGGACATGCTAGTGGAACAGATTAAGAAAATGTTTTGAATTTTCTATAGATGTGTTTTTGTTTCTGTACTAACCTAAAATCTGTGTAGTTAGGTACTAACAGTGAACCGAAGTAGTAATCTGATGTTGCCTCATCTGTTTGCTTTGTCTTTTTTTTGTGTTTTTAAATAAACTAACCTTTACATTGTTTTTATTCAATTCTAGATATGTTCATCTTTTTATGATGATGAATGTATTTTTCTACACTCTGGTGAAATTACTCGACACTAATGAGTCTGGAAGAACACAATGTTATAACAAGAAAATGTCTGTAGAGCTAATCTCGAATGTGACAAAGATTTTTGTATGACATACGAAGTGAAAATATACCGACTTTCAACAATTACTCTGTCCAGTGTGTAATTCAAGGTGCTCAGCTTTTGTAGCCAATTCTGTGAATATATATGTGTACATATATATATATAGATATATATATATTTATTTATTTTCTGCACTATAAGGCGCACTTAATTTTCTCAAACATCGACGGTGTGCCTTATATTCCGGTGCGCCTTATGTATAACTTCAGGTTGTGCTTACTGACCTCGAACCGTTTTTATGCGGTACACGGCGCGCAAAAATCTGTCAAAAAATGTTTTAGTACGACTTTGGTAAGCTACGAAGCCGCACCGCTTTGTGGATTGTCTGAGAATTAAGCAGATGTGGTTAGTTATTTGTCAATTTGATATAATTGAAGCTTGAAAAAACATTTGTTAAATTCTAAGCTACCATTCGCTTTCTTTCCACCAGTTCTCTGGCATCTGACATCACCTACAGCATTACCCTTCATTCATTCAGACAAAACATAGAACAGACCGGTTGCACAGGCAATTTTAAGTGTAAAGAAAAGCCCATGTATCTGATAAGTCAGTCTCATACAATTATGCACCACTGGGGCAACAGAGTCAGTAAGTGCCATGCAGCTGCATGAAAAAGCACAAGCTGAATCTCAAAATGAAGCAACTGTAAAGAGGAAATGTCAGGTGAATCATTCAGTTTAAGTTCGGCATCTGGTTTTTATGTCTGTTTATCTTTCTGCAAATGTGCACATTTTTATGTGCACCAAATAACTGTATACAAGACGTAAAGTAAATGGCGAAATATCTTCATTGTTCTCCCAACACAACCATTCATTTTTTGTATTCAGTCTTATGAAACAGACTGAGTGAAACTTTAAGAAACGTGCACAAGGACAATATTAAGGTTTTTTTTTTCTTTGACTAAGGGGCTGAATTCCTATCGAGCCCCTTATGGGGATTATATGTAACTGTATTATTCAGGATGTTTTTATTTTTAGATTAAATTACAGCATGTCATTAATCTAAACATGTCTAGGTTCATTTCCCAGTGTGGTCCTTAGTGAAATTGAGTTTGACACCCCCGCAGTAGTTGTGTGCACATCATCAGGTAAAAGTAATTTAGAACTGAAAACAGCTGCAGGGTGCAAAGTACATTAAGCCTATGCATTCAAGTTTGTTTGTTTTTTCATACATACAACCTGAATTTGATGCTCAGTGAGTAACCCTTTCTCTACTACACTGTGGACTTTTGGGCAGTTGAACACTGGGAAAGGTCACATCCTGCTCAAAAAGGGTGTAGCTTTATAGGTCAACTTACACATGAAAACACACAAAACAAAACTGTTTATGCTACTGTAAGTTGAAGGAATAATCTGCATTAATCAGCACATTGCATTTAGAAAGACACTGTGCTCGTCAGTTTCCTATACAATATGTCTCTGCAGCTAACACCCTCCCCAAATAAAACCAGACCAAATTCTTCAGAAATCAAAGAAACCGAACTACCCATCCTGCACTATGTAGCAACAAAGAAACCACTAATTAACCATTGCTGTAATTTGCCATATCAAAAAAGAAAATGCATATTCTAAAATTAATTTGTCCCCATCTGTTTAAAAGTAGTTCCTCTGCATGTGTTACATTTGAGAGTAAAAGTTAAATTCTCAAGAAATCAACAAAACCTTGGGTCATTGTTAAATACAACACATATCTACAGAGCACGTAGGTCCAGTGTAAATGTTGTTCTAATTCTTTCGTTGAAGGTGCTTCAAAACATTAAATCTACAGAAGTCCGATGAACCGGAGCATCCACTGGCTTTTATGTTAATTCTGTTCTAATGGTTTCCATTTTTAGCTCTCCTCGTGCACAGGCAATTATTTGCTTAGAAAGGTGCTGTAAAAAAAGGGACCCAGTGATGGTGGCTGTTAAAAATAGCTCACACACTCTGTGTCTAGGTGAACGTATTATCCTCGTCCAAGAGGAGCACAGAGACACCTCAGTGAAAGCCAACACGTGCAAATTTTCTCTCTAAGAAAAACCTAAGTGGAAACATGTAAGACATTTATGATCAAGCCATTTATTAGTTTGACTTCATTTTTATTTCTTTGCTTTCCTCTTTTATATCTATTTTCATTTCCTGTATTACTGTCTTTAGAAGACTTAGGTTGGCTCCAGTGGCTTCTTTTCCCACCACTTAACCAGGACATATGCTTCATTTAGCTCACTACCAATGCCAGTGGTAAAAGAAAAATGATCTATACCTTTCAGCCATAAACATAGGGTATTAATAACCCTGTGAGAAACTCTCAGGTGCTTTTTTAAAATTCATTTGAAACTTCAACCTTGAACATAAAGTTTGTTTAACTGGGGTTGTGGAGTTTAAAGGTGGTGGGTGTTTACCGGCTTGGAGAGAAAGTGAGCATTGTACTGGAATAGATTATAAGTGTCTGAGTCCTGGCTAAATGGCATAATAAAATGCATGGATGGCTGGCTGCATGAAAATGTTGTCATACACGCACTTTCAGGTTTTACATATCAGGGTATAATTTTTTTTAAAAAATCATCTTTACAGAGGGCATTTGTTTAACCACAGCACTCTTCAGAGTCCCGCCAAAGTCTGGACTTTCATTGAACCATTGCAACACGAAGTGGTTTGCAAACACACAGGGAGTGAAAAAAA